AGGCCTCGGGACCCACTTTTTTCCTTTGTCAATAAATCGCGACCCAAAAAATCGTGCTGTAATATATACGCTTTTCAGCATACGATATTAATTAAAGTGAAGTAAAGTGCATATATCCCTTATATCCCTTCACAGAACTAAAGTATGCTTTTAACCCTTGTGTTGTGTTCGAAAGCTCTTACCGTTCATGGTGTTCGCGGGTCAATCTTGACCCATGATGTGTTTCAGTCCAAAACACAAAAAAAAAAAGATTTTCATCCAATATTGTTTTAACTACATCATAACTAACTTATTATGCATTCATAACCGTACAATCCTGTTGTAATTGTATTTTATGACCCCAAAACACATGACACCACATATTGCACACGTGCATGTGTGTGTTCAGGTTCAAGTGTTAGTGTACATATTCTTTGAGAAAGGTGGAGTTCCCGTGGGGGAGGGGGGCAGAGGGAGGGGAGACCAGGTGCATGTTGCGAACAATTATTGTTACAGTGGATGAAGGGGGTGGGGGTGGGGGTGGGGTGTCTAAAGTCAAAGGTGAATCTTGATTGGGCCAAATTTGACCCCGAGTCACCCAAATAATTCTGCTGCGTCTTCCCAGACCCGAACACTAAATTATACACTTTTTTTTAGAGACCTTCAGACTTGGCTAAAATTGTCAAAATCAGTTTTGTAGTGTTTATATAGCTTTTGTGGAGGATATCATGAAGCCTTGTTCCGATAAAAAAAACTAGAGCGTAGTTAATTTTAACTTGAAACGGGGAGACCCGAACACAACATAAGGGAAAAGTTTAATGAGATGATGGTCATCAAGTTTCTAAAATCAAAGCTGAACTGTATAACATAAAAAGGCACACTTGTATTGTACTCAATAAAAAGGCAGACTTGGAGCCAATCCTGCAAATTCACCACGAGTGAAAAACGTGACATGCTGAAAACCCAACCCCAGTAGGGGGGACTGGGGGGATTGTCCCCCAGGAGATTTTTTTAAATACTAACATATAAACTACGAATTCTGGTACACTCTGAGAAGAAAATAAATAAATCTATTATTACCCGACATATTAATAATATTTTATGCCATTGTTTGTTTTTCACTTAGTTCTGACAGCTGAACTTGCTGCTCCACACAGAGAGAAGAGTAAAGATGAGATAGTCTGTGGGAATTACTTTAAATTGTGGGTAAGGGTAGATAGCTTCTGTGACCTGTCAATCATCAAACCAGGGGTCATATTTCATTATGTGTTGATTCTTATCTGAAGTTGTACCCCAAGTTGTCTCCCGCTGGTCCAAACAAAGTAATGTTCAAAAGTATTTCTGTACGAATTCGCTCTCAGTATGACATTTTCGCGACAATCGCAAAAAATGTGTGGGACTCAGAACTGTTTACAATCAAAATTCAGATATATTTAAAACAACAAATCCAATCATAGCTTAAAGATAATGGCCACTAGATGCACTGCTGCCAACTTACAGTAGCAGCCAATTCATTCATGTGTGTGTGTGTGGGTATATATATAGATATGTGTCTGTTGCAGAAGTAGGACATAGCTATAGTATGAGGGGCTTTCCCAGAGGAAGCCAAGTTAGTCATTCTGCCCGTCTTTGATCTTTATTCATCACCTCTTTATATAATTCATACACTGTATATATACTAACTGTAGGTGGAGAGAAGGGAAAGAAGGTGCAACTTTTAATGATTCGACACCAGGAGGAGAACTGAAGTCACGACTAGAATAATAAGCACGAACAAAGTTCATTCACTTATTCCACCTGCAGAGAATCTTAAATGTGCAGCGAAGATATTAAACTGGCATCATTTTGCAAATGAAGTCGGAAATTGCATTTGCATTATGATGACAAAAGCCATAACCTGCCACGTTGTACGACATTACTGCTATTAAAAAGTGCTTCCAGAAGGAGAGGCAGGAGGTTAAATGGGGAAGGACAAATGTGAGTGTCAGAGGAAATTAGAAGGATGTATTGGTTTGGTTCGGAAGGCTCACATCCCTTAGGTATGGCCTTTTTTACTTTGAGAAATAGCCATCTTTGTTTTTCCTCTCGTAACCCTCTGATTAGGGTCAAGAGTCACATATTCAGAAATCCGAGTCAGTAGCTGCAGGGCTTTTTCTCTGCACGGCCTCCATGTTGCCTGCATGGCTGTCTCTGCATCTATAGCTGCTAGCTAGCTGAAGAAATCTGCTCTTTCTGTCCACTCATGCATATCTTTGCAAACACGGATGATTTATTACACTGTACTACACTATTTTCCCGAAACATTTTTACTCCAAAAGGAAACAAAAAACAGCTAATTTGAATATAATGCTGGAATGTAGCAGTGCACTTACTCTTGGTGAAGAATGTGTCATCAAGTGCGTTGTACAAAAAATAACAATACAGAACTGTTGTTTGGGTTTGTATTGTTTTGGTCTGTCTGAATAAGGATGATGAATAGGGTATGAGGGGAAACTTTCCAGAGAAACTGAAATAATTAAAGAGGCCCTATTATGCTTTTGGGGTTTTCCCTTTCCTGTAGTGTGTTATATACGTTTTTGTGCATGTCAATGTTCTGCAAAGGCTAAATCTCATTATTACTTATTCTACGTTTCAGAGACAAATATTCACATTTATGACACTACATTTATTTTAAAGCTAAAGTGACTAAATGCTTCAGATCTGTATTTTAAATACAAAAACATACATAATGTACGATAATGGACATACAAAGCACAAATAACTAAAAACTCTAGCTGTGAAAATGTAATTTAAAGGGGACCTATTATGCAAAATCCACTTTTTCATGTCTTTCATACATAAACATGTGTCCCCTCTGTGTGAAGAGATTCTGAAAGTTTCATGAAAAAAGATTCGCTCACTTTTTGTCCTGATCCATTTATATAAAAACCTGTCTGAAAATGAGCTGATCAGATTTTGGCCACTTTATGATGTCATAACGATTTTTTTTGCTTGTGTAACCATTCGCCAATCACCAACCAAGGTAACCCCCCCCCCACACCTTATCACCTGAATCTCCTCCTAGAGCACCATTGTGTTCTTTTTAACCAAATATCTCTCAGAGGGGCGTGGGGAGGGGCTCCTTATTTTCATCTAAAGTAACAGACAGAGAATCAGCACTTTTGAAACAGGGCTGAAACAGAGGGGATTATGGGATGCTGCAATGATCTGTTTGGTGTTTGGAGCCAAACACTTCAGAGACATGTTTTGTATATATCTGAGACCTATAATATATTGATGAAAAACAGTATAATAGGGGACCTTTAAGAAAAAGTTATTATAAGCATGAATACGTCAAGTGTTAAAACTATTAAATGCAGGAAAAAGGCCTGTTCGTAATGTTTAAAATGTGTAAAGCAACTGGAGTAAAAAAACTACAATTCTTGGAGAAGTAGAAACCACAATTTTATTATAATATTGACTATTTACATTTTATTTTTGAGTTATGAATTAGAGGTATTTTCTGCTTACTTATTTGCTTTTCCCGCTGCTATTTTCTGCTTATAAATGTATTCCACAACTCATTAATATTGAAGCAGTTTTACTTTTAAATGCATTTTGTCATTTTTAACAACTGCTTAGATCTCTGTAGTACATGATTAAAATACAGAATTACATCTGCACAATTCATAACATGAGCCTAGACGCTTCTGGTGTTATAACAGCCTTGCATCAGATAATATCGTATGTCAAACACATACTAACACAGTGATATGAGGGTTTATCCTTAGGGAATGAATTCCATTAACCAATTTCCACTCGTGCTGCTACAGAGCGGAGCCTCTTACTGACGAGTTACACTAACAATTGCTTTTCTGTGCTGTTTGTAACAAGATTGTTTGTCAGTGTCACTCAGAGCAACAGTAGGCTTATACTTCGTCTGGTTTGTCCCATGGCATACGAAGAGCGGGATGCCTCCTGCTCATCCTTTGCAGTGAATGTGTGTGTGGTGACTCTGGTAAGGTGCTACCACACTGTCTGCTCTAAAGTCAGCATCTCTTCCCTTGGGCATCAGTGTTTTCCTCACAGCTCCACTCGGCTTTAACAACATGCCTCCGCAGAGGCGTCAGGACCCTGAATAACAACAGCAGTTGTAATTGCATTTGTATGTGTGATTGCGGAGAGGCGGAGAGAACTGTTGGTGTGGTTCCTTGTGTGTGTGTGTATGCGTATATGGATTTGCTTCCCTCTCATGCGTTTTTCGCTCTGTGTGTGCTCATTTTGGAGCAGGCTTGTTCATTGGGTCTGTGGGGAGGTGTGCTTTCTGCTGACTTTGTTTGGTTCAAAGCCTGAGGCTCATGCTGATCAATATTATCCCGGACCCACCACGTCTATGTGCAGCTGATTGGCTCCCTGCGTGGCAGGCAGCCGCAGCTTAACAGCGGAAAGTCATACGTCAATATGTTACTCACATCTCTCTGGGTATATTTTTGGACACACCCTTAATCACTCAGAATGTGCGTGCAATTGTGTTTAACCTCAAAACTCTGAAAACTCTAAAAATACATTGCTTTTATTAAAAGAAGCAGTGACATTTAAGTAAATGTTATTACAGCATGGCGTGCAGTCATCATCACATATTGGAAAACCTAACCAGTAGTTGTTTGTTTTCTAGGGGACAGTTAGTAACTTGCCAATAAAGCATTGATGACATTTCTGGCTTTAGGCTAGTGTTTAGCATTTGTTTCTAGGGAGCAGACTTTCCATTGAGTTTCTGTGTGGGTGTCTTCACTCTTGTCTGAATTGTGTTGCAGCTAAGTGAACTAGCGTACAATATGCCCAAACTCAAATTTGTATTTCTATCAGTCTGCAATCAATATGTCCCATAAATGTTTATATTTTGTCTCTGTAGGGGCAAGAAAAATGAGGCCAATTAGAGTATATGTTGTCCTTTCGGCTGAGGCTGGCAGGCCCCTTGTTCACAGTGACACAGGCATAAACATCAGCACCGTCTAATCTGCGTCTGTTTGTGTTCTCCTCAGGTCTGGACGACTGTCTCCAGCAGTACGTGAAGAGTTTCGAGCGAGAGCAGATGGGGGGAGAGCAGCTGCTACACATCACCCATCAGGAGCTGGAGGAGCTGGGTGTCACCAGAATAGGACATCAGGAGCTCATCCTGGAAGCTGTCGACCTGCTCTGTGCCCTGGTCAGTCACTCAGCCTCTGTTACTCACTGACACTGTCTCTCTCAATCCATAGTGCTTTGGACGGGGGTGATGTTCAAATGCACGATATGTGTTGACTGACACAATATTGAACACCAAAACTGACAAATGTTAGTAAAAGGTTACATCATACATCCAAAATAGGTCTCACTACATTAATAAATAGTAGTTACTGTATTTAAGTAGCGTTACCTTGCAAACTTTGTAAGCTAACATATTTTAGCTACTGTTACAAGATTTGACAGTGGAATATGTTTAAGCAATATGCACTGCCATGTGAAGTTTTAATGATGAAAGTTAGCTACAGCCAGGTAGCTGGCTAAAAAGGCAGGTGCTGCTAACCGTGTTTAGCAAACCATTTTTCATTTAAGCTAGCTAAAAAAATGCTTGCGATGAGACTAACCGCTCTACACTTTTTGAGAATGCAGAGCCAGAGAGTCAAAAAAACATTTTTCACCTTTTTATTTATTAAAATAAAATAATGAAACCCTCCTGTGTCAGAGTCTGAACTGCTTCAGCAAAGGATGGGTTTGCAGACAGTTATGAAATAGTAGCCTACTAAATGGTACAAATGCACCGCTTATTAGCTTAAAGAGGTTTTTCCCCCTCTTCAATAACTCTTTTATTGACTGAAATTAAGTCGGTACAATCCCAAGAACAAAATACTTTGAGGAAATAAACAGCACAGTAAATAAATATACAATGAAGCTTGCATGTTAGGGTGGATTGCTGGTTAATGATAAGCTTGCCAGCTACTGCTGATTTAATAAAATATTCAGTCAGACAACCCACATATGAAATGTTAATAACAGTAGCATATAGTTTGAGTTTGGGGTCTAGGCTACCACCTCATCACTCCCTGCACATATTTTAACATAGAACATTGAAGAGTGATGGTTGCATAACTTTTCCCGGAGCTTACAGCTAATTTAAGGGGTGGTGGTGGGGCAGAAAAGCAGCAGAGGTGATGAAACAGGGCAGCAGCAGGATTGGCGAGGCCGAGCGAGAGATGGCAAATCTTGCACCCTAAATAGAGCGCCAGATTTATGAGAATTTGTTTGTTTGGTTGGTGGCATAAGGGGGTAAGGCATGTCACGTGTAAATCTATTATTGTAGCTTGAGTGCCTGAACTAGCTTGGCTCCATTTATGCTCATTTTAGACAGTTGTATGCAAGATGCTTAGACAAGATTTCATGTCGTCCTCTTTTTTTTGGGAAATACAATTAAAAGAAATTATTTTGTGGTCAGACTGATCACATTGGTCAGACTGAGGTATCACATTGACACTAGTGTCAATCTAGCTAAGCCTAAGCATTCTCTATATATCCCCTATTGGATTTTAGAATGAATACGGTTATAAAAAGGCTTTATGTATATTTTAAGATCAATTCAGAGTGCATTCATGAAACTGCTAAATAAATTCTCACAGGTAGAAAGATTTATAAACTTGTTGTTGTTTATTTCCCCCCACCGGTCATTGATATTGGCTTAGGAAATGGCTTTAAAACTCCTCCATCATCTGGGCCCTGCTTTGTGTTCTGCCTTGGTCACTGCGGACTGTATGGGCAGTGGCCCTGCTCAGGATTACGGAATTAGGGGGAATTAGGGGCTACTCTCCCAGAGAGAGAAAGAGACAGAGACGAAGGCAGAGCGAGAGGGAGGAAGAGGAAGAGGAAGAGGAAGAGGAAGAGGAAAAGGAAGAGGAAGAGAGAGAGTATGTAGAAAGAGTATGCAGGATGCACCTTATCTCCCAGGCACACATGGCTGGATTAGTTAGGGCTGTTTGAATGGTTGTGAGAAAGAGTGGGTGTGTCTGTGTGTGTGTGCTAATCAGCACCTCTTCATTCAAACGTTCCAGCATGGGAATGAGTGTCCCAGAGCAGCAATCACCACCATATGTCCTGGAACTGGAACCACTGTACACACATAGGGATGCCAGGTATACAAGATGTATCACTAAAACCACTGCTGTGAGTAGCATTGAATGATGATTCCAGTTTATAACAACTCAGGTTCAACTTTTTGTAGTTCTAGCTATCATTCCCATCAGATTAAACAACAGTGTACTCACCAAGTACATTCTGGGAACACATCGGCATCTGGGGATGAAATGTTGACCATCATTACTGTCCAAAATGTGTAATAATTTCCTGTCCAAAGATGCGTGATTGACCTGATATCAATATAGAACGACAACTTTGTAATTGGGCTCTTTCTTTCCGGAGGGTTGTTATTTTGGGGGCCCTCTGCAATCTTTTAAGTGGTTAGATTGATTAGGTTGAGTCTTGTCAGTCAAAGTATGTTCAGCTGATCCTGATGACCCTAAAAATCTCTAAATCTAAACTCTAGATTAACACTCATAATGTGAAGTGTGAAGAAGAGCTATTCCTGAAGTAACCATTACAGCTTTTTGAAGGCAATATTGTGCACTTGACACTGAAACAGGAACCTCTTCTGAGGTTGGGCGATATGTTGAAATATTCCAACTAGCCACTTTCAGCAACAATTGCAGAAAGACGATGAATTTGTCCAATTGCCCAACCCTAACCTGTTCCTATATATATCTGCAACCATTTTAAAGCTATTCTTCAAGTTTTGTTTACCAATGACTGGTGATTTTTACTAATCTTATTGAACTATTGCTCCATAATCTTTTGTCTCTTTTAACCTCTTAGTAGTCAAACTGGTTGAGGAACATAAACACAAAACCATTTTTTCATAATATAAAAGCATGAAAGACCATTCAATAATAAAGAATAGTCCTCTCAGCCTCAATCGAGCTTTTGTGGCAGGTGATTCAAGATTTTTAACATTATATATGTATTGACATAAAAAAAGGGATTATTACAAGCATTTTTGTGTCCGACTTTGGTTTCTACAGCTCATGTATTGCCCCGTTGGACCTAGCAGACAAAGTGTTTTCTAGATCTCATCTCAGCAATTATTATGTTGAGTAAAATCAATATAAATTAAGTTCAAAAGTGCAAAAATAAGACCTTAGCTATAATAAATCAAAATGATCCTTTAAGAAAGCAATTCTCAACTGACCTCCTACCTTCATTAACGTTTCTCTCCAAGTTCCACAGGGAAGCAAGTACGTGTAGACCTGTAGAGTATTTGGATAATTCACTGTGGTCAGCAATATAATCCATCATGAGGAAAGCAAAACCCTTTTCCCCTGGCTCAACCGTTACGACTTTCTGGACTTTCTGCAGTCAAAGAATATGGGAACTTCCGTGGCCCTGGATCAATGCAAAGTTTCAAGCGCTGACTGAGCTCTCAGTCTCGCTGTGAATGTGGAGAAAAGTCTCTTCTTTTATGCATTCAAGTTTTTGCCCCCAGCCTTTATGCTAAGTAGGTTTCTGTGGGTGCAGTGCATTTTCAGAAAGATGTGTTGGGAAATGGGCCCAACCTTTTTTTGTGTGGCCTTTTTCGCCTTTATTTGACAGAGGAGAGTGTAAAATAAGGAGATATAGGTTTGACATGCCTCAAAAGGCCCCAAAGCGGGAATCAAACCTGGGACATTGCGGTTATCCTGTATGCGCTGTGACCTTTTATCTACCAATGCTAAATAATGGGCATCATTTAAAAATCAATGGACTTCTCATCCCAACATCTGTGTTAAAAGACACTTTATGTATCATTGTATTAAAGTTGCATACAACAATGTAGAAACTGAGCAAATACATACAATCATCATAGTCAGGCCACAGTTTGCCACACACTATGGTCAATTGTAAGTGTATTATCTTTGTAAAACTTATTGAAGTTAAGACAAGTGAATGATTATTTCCACCGACAGTCTTTGTATGATGCCAGCGTTCTGATACAAACACTTTAATACAGTATCTATCAGGGATTTACAGTTTTTAATCAATCTGACTGAGAAAAAAACCATGCAAACAGGCAGAACAAAAACTCAATATAGCTTGGCTTTATCCATAATACTATAATAATTAGGTAGCTTTATAATGTTATACTTTTGTTCTGGTTTTGTTCAGAGGAATTGCTTCATGCTGTCATCTCCTCCCGGATCTCTTTCAAACAGATGAGTCAGCTTTCTGTTTTGGTTCCTTTTCTGTGCCACCCTTCAGACTCTTCTAAAATTCTGTCAGTTACTTGAAAGTTATTAAATAGTTGCCCAAAATGTATATTTGTAGTCCTCATATGTCCCATACAAGAAAGATTCAATTGTCTTGTTTGTTTTGCATGTGCGTGTGCCTATGTGTTTAGATCTAAGGGATTTTTTGTCTTCGGTTGATCGTCTAATAATTTGTTTTCTTGGGTTAGTTGTTGATTCCTAAGGGGAACCCTTTCTACATTAAAACACTTGTTTGAGAAACTCCCTTGAAAAAAGGTTGTTACAAACAAATCAAACCATGTATCATAATGTGTATTCTGGTGTTAAGCTGCTTGAAACAGCCCTTCTTTTATTCTATAAGCTGCTTATTTAAACTGTAGTCAAGTTTATTAATATATGTAATAAATGTGCTTTATAAATAATACAAATTCAAAAGGCATAAATCATGAAATTACAAAAATATATATGATAACAACACATGTAAAATGGTATGATAAAAACAAATATCCTAAGAAGGTATATCAATAAAATAGAATAACAGAATAAGGTATAAATAAATGAGGGTACTAAGACTTAATGTTGAAAATCAAAACAAGGGAAAGCATTACACAAGACACAAACAAAAGAGGTCAGATAAGAAGGTAGTACATGTAAAACAAATAATATAATAAGGAAAATATAAAATATGAAAATATTGATACTTACTTACTTTTTCCATGTGGTAGATGATGCCATACAGAAGGACGATAATGACTGAAGACTGTAAATAGATATTTTGTAAAATCAAAATGAGAAAATGCCTCATAGCTGGACTTGTTACCGAGAAAGATCCTGCAGTAGATTAAAAATGCAATCATTATTCAAATCTCATGTGGTTGAGATGAGCAGTGAACACAGATCCTCCCAGCTGTGAGCCACACACACACACACACACACACACACACACACACACACACACACACACACACACACACACACACACACACACACACACACACACACACACACACACACACACACACACACACACACACACCACACACACACGATCAATAGTCCTCTTGATTAATAGCCATTAGATGCTCTCCATTTAAGTGAATGTACAGTGGAGCGAGACTGATTAATGTTGGAGGATTGAAAAGGAAAATGATTCCTGTGTGTGGCCGAAACATTTCATAACCAGTGTATGAGTGCGATTCTGTGAACAATAGTGGAGATATCATCGTAGAGGAGAGGCCACTCCACACATGGCTGCTATGGCAACCACATCGACATGAAGGTGGACGAGGGTGGGTTGGGGGGGTGGTTGCTTAATGGCATCGCCCTCTTACTGTATTGATTTGACACGCACATGCACGCACCGCTCAAATTATTTCCCTCTCCTTCTCCACACACGCAGACAGTCCTCACAGCGTGGGCATTATTTGTCCCCCCCCCTTCATCTCGGCACTCCGTCCCCTGGAGAGAGACACACACAGGGCTTCAGATCGGATCACAGGACATGCTAATTACAGCTGTGCAAACATGTGCACTCCAAGTTCACGTATACATCTACATTTCCCACAGAATACAGGAGATTATACGGAACACAGTGTCTGCATGACCCAGTTTTCACAGAGAAGCATAGCCGGGCGCTCCCCATCTCTCTCTCCCTCTTGTCTTCTGCCTCTTTAGTTCCTCTATTCTCTCCCTCTCTGCTGCCACTGCTGAAACCCCTCGCTCCTTTATAGTCGCTGTGGTCGTCGTGACTGTGTAGAAAAGATCTAGAGGCAGAGGAGGAATGGATACGTCTAGCTGAGTGTGTGCATCTGACTTTACGGGTTTAAGTGTGTGTGTGCGTGTGTGTGTGTGTGTGTGTGTGTGTGTGTGTGTGTGTGTGTGTGTGTGTGTGTGTGTGTGTGTGTGTGTGTGTGTGTGTGTGTGTGTGTGTGTGTGTGTGTGTGTGTGTGGCCTTTGTCAGCAGGAATCAGGCTCTGTCAGGCAGGACATGACTGGAGGTGCCTTGGGATGCCGAGCGCAATGTGGCTCAGTGGGTCTATGTGTGTGTGTTTGTGTGTATGTGTGTGTGTGTGTGTTTATCTAAAAGGGTCACGGTGCAGTAATGGGATGCTCAACCAGCTTGGTGTTCTTGTATTAGCGTGCAGAGTGGCTATATATATATATATATATATATAGGTTATATGTAAAATGCTAATGGATATTCCGAGAGAGTTATTCTAATTTCAGGTCTTTCCACTTACAAAAAAGTGTAATGACTGTAGCTACTTTTAGTGCTTAAACCCATACAACTTGTCAAAAGGTAATCCATATTTAGAAAGATCAATGTTAAAGTATTTATTACAGCGGTTTTATGTTATTCTTTTGTGTTTACTTGTGGATACTTAAAGTCAAGTGCGGGCTAAGCTAACCACAGCTTGACTTCAACTCAATAGAGACTGACAGATATATAAAAGAGCGGTATCAATCATCTTATCTAACTCACAGAAAGTTTCCACAACTATTTCTTTAACCATTGATCAAATATATCCCTGCCAGAAGTAACCTAAAGCCAATGTCTTTGATGCAGACTGCGCAACAAAAGTAGCATGTTACTGTAGCTTAGCAGCAGCAACACCTGCATGTGGTTCTACTTCTAAAACGAATCCCTCTGTTTGTCCTCCAGAACTATGGCCTAGAGACGGAGAACCTCAGAACTTTGTCACACAAGCTGAATGCTTCGGCGAAAAACCTCCAGAACTTCATCCTGGGCCGGCGGAGGGGCGGGCACTACGACGGACGAGCTTCCCGGAGGCTACCCAACGACTTCCTCACCTCCGTGGTGGACCTGATCGGTGCAGCCAAGAACCTGCTAGCCTGGCTCGACAGGTAACATTTATTTGACCATACATTTTTAAGAGAATTTAAATAAAGTAGGGATGAAGGGTTTAATGTGCATCTATAATCAGAATATCAGTGGTTCGATCCCCAGTGTCCAAGATATTAACCCCATATTGTTCTCGCTGTGTATTTGGTATCATAATCTAATGTAATGATCACATAAAATAAATATGTAAATCCTATAGGCCTATTGATGTTTTAGTGTTAGTTATTTTATTACAAATGGCAAACCAGGCAGTGGACAAAATAATAAGAACACATTACAACCTCCTTCTGAAACAAAAGTTAAACAACAATAAAACCTTATTAACTCACATGATATGGTAAAATCAGTAATACATGGGTAAAGAGGATTGTTTTTGATGTTGTTCCTGACATAAGTGCAGCTGATGGAGCCGGATGAAACTGAGGACACATACAAATAAAGCAATGTTTGAGCTTTAGAAGATTTCTTGGCTGCATCGACTTCTGGCCGTGATATAAAACTAAATATTGTTGTATGTCTGAATCACATGCTCATGTGCTCTGAGAGGAAAACAGAACAGCTTTTATTGTCCTCCACTGCCCTGTTACAGCTTTTAGAATCACAGACTTACTTAGCAAATAAATGAATGCAACAAAATAAAAACACCAAGCAAACATCACCTCCTCAAAACAGAAATGCGCTCATTTATTTTTATAGAATGGCCCAATATGCTTTTGTTCACATTCATTATAGAGTGGTTGTGAGACCTTAGATTACTTTTTTTCAGACATTTAAAAAAAAAGTATAGTACTAAAAGAATCACAAAAAAACATCTACAGTAAACTCTTTACAAAAATGAGGCACTAAAAAAAAAGAAGAATAGGAGGAAAACATAATTCTCCACCACAGGAACTTTTGATGATAAAAATAACGAAATGTAGAATAAGATCATAACGATAATTGTATCCAAAGTTCTACAAACGTTTACCACATGTTTACGGTTTCAGATGCATTTGTCTGATCATGATCTCTATTTTTGCCTTTCAGGTCTCCATTTGCCAGTGTGACAGAGTATTCGTTACTGAAGAACAACATTGTGCAGCTCTGCTTAGAATTAACCACCATCGTACAACAGGTGATTTCACAAATACTCACAAACACATGGGGGTGCATGCATTACTCATTGCAATATTCATACAGTATAAGTTACGCTAATAAAATAAAGGTCAGAACTTAATCGTGTTTGTATTGGTAGCATCAATACAGTGTTTTCTAGTCTATAACTCATTTACTCACTATAGACAATAAGTGGAACATATGCCAGCTGCCTTAGGCACATTTCTCAATGACTCACTGTTAGACCACAACCACTCTTTAACTTGTGGGCCCTGGTGGAGCCATTTCCCATCCCGTCATTTCCTGATGCTAGGCAAATCTAGCTATCATCTTTGAGGACAGCACACTTCAGTGGTGTCGTAAGGTGTGTTTGCAGTTTGCCAGGAAGAGAGCACACCAAGCTCAGGAGACAGATGGTGGGCTAGCTAGCACGTTAGCTTGTCAGTTTTAGACAGTAGGGAATGAGGCAGAGGAACAACTACACCCAGTGGGTTAGGGTTAGGGATTGTTCTTTGGCTTATTTTTTGTTATCAGTGTAACAAAGTCTGGAAGCTTGGTAAAATTAGCAACCTAGATGGCTAGTTAGCTAAAAGCTGACTAGTTGGCTAAATCTTGTGAGAGTAACGTCAATGGTTATGTTTGCATTAAGTTGTTCATTTTACTAATTTCCCTCAATATGCAGTGGCAATGATACACATACAAATGGCCGACACTCTGACCACTCTACATTGATTAATGGCAATGTCCAAACATCTCCTATTCTATTTCTATGGATATGACACTACGGATCAATATATATATAAACACATATTTAACTAATAGCTATCACCATACAACTTCTACAGTTCATTACTTAAATAAAGACCATTCTTTTTTGTATGACAGGCCTTATTAACTATTATTTTGAAATGTGCAAATGAGGTATTATCTTGCTAAATATGTGCTCATTTTATACATTTCTGGAGCATTGGTTCTAAATAATTGTTTGATTACAGAATGTTGACTTATTTGAGTCAAGCACTTTTGTAGAGAAAATATCTCTATTCTGGGATTTTGTCAACAGCCATTTAAAACATCAATTTTCACTAAATAACTCGAGAAAACCACCTCTAAAGACATTTTCTTTTTTTATTGTGGAGTTCAATAACTTTACATGGTCCAAAGATTAACTAAGAAATACTACCATGAAGTTGTTTACTTTACTTACTTACACAATGACTTATTGTGGTTTCTGATGAGGCATTGTCTAATGCTGTTGTATTTTTAGGAGAAATCTAGACAGGCAAATAGACAATATCAGTTCAATAAACACCTAAAGTATTATTTTTGGATGTTTCCTTTCCACTAGTCTGAAAAAAGACAGCTTAAACGCTTAAATGGACTAGTTCATGGACAAACAATGGTTTTGCCTGTAGTGTCACACCACCACTCTGATACTGCAGAAATCTCATTGTTTGGACAGAAAGTATGTCTGCTCTCCTGGACTCCATCCACATCCTTCCTGTAAGAGCCTGCTCAGAGTGTGTGAGAGTGTGTTTGTACGTGTGCCCGGAGTGAGTCCTGGAGCCGAGCAGATAAAACCCATCCCCTCTTTAAAAGGGCCAGAGGAGAGGGAGGAGGAAGGGGCCACCGTGGTACGACAATGGGCCAAATGAACATGTGGCTGCCAGGGTGCAGCGAGACAGACAAAGGTGGCAGCACCGCCCGCACTAATGCATCAAACGGATGAATAAACCACCACCATGCACATCTGGTGGATTCAGTGGGCTGCTTTCCCAGAAATAGATTAACTATCAGCTATCCTTAAATAACAATCTGTCATGTTCAAATAATGTAGTGTCTAAATCCTGCGGAGGCTCGTGAAGCAGAGTAGATCCAGAACTGGTCATCCAATGTTTTAGTCTGCCTAGATTATAAAGTAATATGCATAATGCGCACGGTTAGAAAATGAAATAGCTGACTGCTGATGTTCTCCATAGAAAGAAAAAGTCATCCATCATTCCCTCTGCTGTCTCATTTGTCTTCCGTGCGGATGTTCACATAGATGCTTTCTCCATCTCATGTTTCCTTCTTCTCTCTTTTTCTGTATTCCTCTCGTTTTACAGGATTGCACTGTGTACGAGACAGAGAACAAGATTCTCCATGTGGTAAGTTTCTGCTTTAAAATGCTTCTTGTGTAAAGCTCAATTCAAATTGTGGGACTGTTTTTCCATCACAGAAAACACTGAAGAGGCACTGTGGCATTCTCAGCTTTAAAAGAGGAAAATAGTTACAACAAGACTGTTATCAAACTGTTTACAGTCTGATAATATAGCATCAATCTCTCTGTTGTTGCACATTATACAAAACATATAATAAAGTATTTATTGTATAAAGTACCATGACATTTTTCACATTCAACCACCAATAAATTCTTTTCTGAAAAGAAAATCTAGCAAGTTTAAAACTTGCAGAGTAGTTCTGCATTTTGTAAAATACATGTCAAATTCCCACACAATATCAGGTGTGGTCTTACATGGTATTGATAGACCAACAGTAGTTATTAAGCAAAAAAATGTAATAATCCAATAATTATAACTACTCAAATTTTGGATTTTATCATATAATATTAATGCATATTCCATTTAGATTATAATGCATGTTTCCTTTGCGTTGGGCAATAAACCAGACATCAATGAGTACCAACAAAATAAAAACCAACAACAATAATATGAATTTGTGCTAATATAGCTTCCTGCATGAGGGACGTGCTTTCGCAATTTTAGATCCAATAAAAGAGCCGTAATGACAAAATTGCACGAGATCATAAACACATTTAAAGGCTGAAAAAGATCTGTATGTGTGTGTTCGCCCACGCTTTCTGTGTGCAGTGTGTGTCTTTGACAGAGAAGCACTGTGTGTGTTTTCGTGGGAATTTGTGGCACAAAACCGTGCATGTGAATTTGCAAGCGAGCCTGAGGCCTTTTGAACGCTCCAGTTTAGCTTCTGTGTATGTGTTTTTTCCACTCGTGTGTGTGTGTGTGTTTGTGTGATCGTGCATGTTTGACGGAGAAATGTCTGTGTCCATGTGTGAAACCGAATGAGCAGCTAGTGTGTGATCGGGGCTGACAGTTGAATCAGGACACTTCCTGCTGCCATTCAAGGTCAGGTGGAGGAAACCAGAGAAAATGTCGGCAGGATGAGGTCACAGAAACCAAAGCCAAAAAATTAATCCTAATAAGGATGTTCTGTCAGTAAATATGCAATTGTATGACATGCTTCTATGAAACAAACCCAATATACGTACGTTTGAACTTGAGATGTTGCGGTGTCCCCCCGGTCAAAGTGTCTCCCCTTGCCTTTTTTGGTTGTATTTAACCTTTGTTGTTACAGGAAAGTGACATCAGGCAAATTCAAATAAATAGCCCTGCACATGCGCACACACACACACACACACACACACACACACACACACACACACACCACACACACACACACACACACACACACACACACACACACACACCACACACACACACACACACACACACACACACACACACACACACATACACACACATACACACACATACACACACACACACACACACTCTGAGTGCCAGACTTAAGGCTACACATGACTAAGTCTGTTATGTGTGGGAGGTTTATGTGTGAAACAGGGAGACAGCGTGAAGGGAGCAAGAGGAGGTGTTTGTTTTTAGATGCTGCTTCCTCGCAGAGTATTGTTTACTACTGCATGGGTCTAAGTGGAAGTAAAGTGGAACTCACACATAGGTTGACGATGTTTATGATACGCAGTTGATATCATTAGCTCTAATTCTGGAAATTGGACATTATTTCCATTTAGAAGAAGTTAGAAAAAGTTGACCAGTGTGTCGAATTCTGTCACCAGCCATACAAACATAGTTTTTCGCTAAATAACTCATTTTCAGAAAACGAATTCTAACGATATGTATTGTGGAGTTCAATAAACTTCGCAAGGTACAAATATTAACTGATAGGGCTTTCACACCAACGCGATTCCCGTTCTAGCTCCGTGCTAGAGCTTTTCTGGTTCGGAACCGGTTTTTATTTTCAGCCCCCGTTTTGTTCACACCGCCCAGAGCCCGACTGGTGCTGCCGCTGCTGCGTCACGACATCACCGTTTACGTCGCTTACGGCGCTCACTACAACAACAACAATGGGGGACTTCGTCGGGTCGATGATCGTGTTGCTTTTAATCATACGAAGCCAGATTAAATTAAATAACTACTTCTCAACCCTTGTATTTTTCTCCAGAGTGCCGTGGTTCATTGTTTATTAATGTGTTTCAGCGGCATTTACCGACCGCTGCAGTGCTGCTCTTCCACGGGAGTTTATTCTCCCGTTAGCTCCGGGTTAGCTCACACGGCAGCGGCCGATGTAAAGTATTCACTGTCTGACTGTCACACAAGCAGCTGATACATATCCCCAATTCCCCATAAGTGAATGTGTTTCAGTATGAATTGACGCTGTTTGGCATCACAACGCTGTTATGAAAGTTTCTCTGGTATAAAATGGGTGATGTTAGCATAGCAACCGAAGCTAAACTGACTATCTTGACTACTTGTTGCTATCCTATTGTGGCATAAGCCGTTTTCTACAGGCACATTTTACCGGCGTATCTTTCATTATGATTCTACTTGTGATAGTCGGACATGACAACCTGTGCAGCCCATGTATTGATTCCATCCGATAGCTGCTATAATACAAAACAAAACGTCTGCCTGCTCTCCACAATGATCAATAACAGCGAACGGATGGTCAAAGTAAGGTACAAATAAACAGAATCACACGAAGCCTGGTTAGTGTTGCCTGACTTTATAAAGTGTGTTTTTTTTTTACAAGTGTGTGTTTGCGTTCTAGTCACTTTGCTCAGCACTACTGCTGGTTACAACTTTTATTTGCTGTACTCGCCTTTAACTGTTAGCTCAGGTTAATCTCGCCCCCCCTCCGACGTAAGCGTGACGTATGCGGTTCTTGCTTCTAGACCGAAAAATGTTTGGTGCTTGAAACGAACCGGATTCCGGAGCTTAGAGGCGGCTCCACTGCGGTGTGAACAGGAAAAACCAGTGCTTTTCAGGCTCTAGCTCCGAACCGGCCCTGGAACCGCGTTGGTGTGAAAGCCCCATTATAGATACTACCATGAAGCTGGTTACTTACTGTCACATATGCATGCAATGCATACAGAGTTAAGGCTGTTACGACAGTGTTGCAACATGCTTTACGGCATGGGAAGGACTGCTTTACTACAGAGTAAGCCCGCCAGTTGTTATGTTTCTGCCTACTGTAATGTCTTGACTTACTGTTGAATAAACCTGAGTCGTAAAAGATACTCGACCCTCGATCATTCTACATGGTGTCAGAAGTGACCTGTGAGTCACAGGAAATAAATAAGACAAAGTAAAGGAATATAGACGGCGGAATGGCCAAGTTTAATCCCCCAGCGAACTTTTCTTTTGATAAACCGACTGAATAGCCAGAATGGAGGCAACACTTTGAGCGGTACAGACTCGCTACTAAACTCGACAAAGATGACGGGAGAGTGCAGGTGAGCTGCCTGATTTATGCCATGGGCAACGAGGCTGAAAATATATTTAAGTCGTTCACTTTTGCCGAAGAAGATGATGGCGATGACTTTGCCGTTGTGGTGGGAAAGTTCAACGAGTACTTTTTCCCGAGGAGGAACGTTATCCACGAGAGGGCATGTTTCCACCAGCGGGTCCAGCGGCCAGGGGAGAAGGCAGAGGGTTTCATCCGAGCCCTGAACTTCAGCAACTTCAATGTCACATCCCTGACATCCACAACTCCGGAGCCTGTCCCTTCAACCATAGAACCAGCGCAGCCATATTAACCCCAAAGCAGCAGCCCTGCGACCGTTGAGACTGTCAAAACCGTCGGCATCGGTGAACCGAAACAGGCTGGTTCCGACTGCATGGAGGTTTGTTGTCAGGACATTGAGACGGGTAAAGCTGCACAGCTAATTGTAGATAAAAAGGAGACCGCTAGATCGTTTGGGCAAAGAGAAAGGTACTTCAATGCAGAATGGTACAAAAACAGAGAGTGGTTAATTCTTTGCAAAACCACTAAACGAGCCTTCTGTGAAATATGCAGATTTGCTGCTGTCAAACGGCTTGTAACTTTCTCCAAATGTGGAGATGACTGCTTTGTAAATACCCGAGTTAATAACTGGAAAAAGTGCCCAAGCCTCCTGGACAGCCACGAAAAGTCTCATTTTCACAGAGAGTGTACATGTTCAAAAAAAGTGCGCTTACTTCAATCAAACACCAGTTAACATTCAGCTTGTCAAACAAGAGCGTATTGAGCAGGAAAAACTAAGTGATGGAATGATGGAGCAACTGCGCTGTCATATGTGGGCTGGACCTGTATAGTTTAATTTACAGGAAAGGAGTGAGCAGAGTTGTCCATTCTTGTTCTGTTTTCTGTGACTATCTTCCTCCCCATGCTGAACACCCTCTCAGACTTTCAGTTGCGCGTGCTACTAAAGAGACGCGTTACCATGGAAACCAAACAATGGTGTAGCTATATTGAAGTCCGAGTGGAAACAGTAACATTTGGAGCGTTATGTTAGAATGAAACATGTCGTCGTGACTCACAAATCAGATTTAGTCAGAAACCGGGAGAAATGCGGGATAAATATGACCCCGGGAGGAAACCGGGAGAGGGCAATGAAAATCGGGAGGGTTGGCAAGTATGTCACATACACACGCACTTTTTGCCCCCCCCCCACTTCTGAAATGAATCCGGCGCCGCTGACATAGGCCTATGTAAAAATCTCTCATACACACATGTGAAACGCTCTCACACACAACAGCGTTGCAGTCAGGAAGAAAAGCAAATAAGCAATGTGGAGCGGCACCTCACCACTTCATAAGGAGTTTAACCGTGACACTTTTCGAAATCCCGTTTGTGTCCCCCCACTTTACAAATAGGCCTATGTTTATTATAATTTTTTAGAGAGAGAGAGAGAGAGAGAGAGAGAGAGAGAGAGAGAGAGAGAAAAAACAACACACTTTTATCTATTTAATGTAGCCTAGTTGTAAAAAATAAGCTTGGCTTACCATTTTATTGGAGCGATGAGGAACAGGTGGGGCTTGAAAAGGCCCACCTGTTCAAAGTGGGGAATGACAGAAAAAGTTTGAGAACCACTGGGCTAATGCCATGGATGTATAATAAGAACTGGATACAGCGTGGGAGGCGGGGCCTCATTCATTCCTATGAGAGTTGCTCATTCGCGCATGATGATAAAATGGCCCAACTTTTGAGAGAGCGAAACGTCACAGATTACCCGGCATGCCTGAGAAGTACCCGTATGTGCGCTCATAGCGCATGCACAACTTTAACCATGCCCCCCAAAATGCTCGTTCACATCAAGCACGTCAATTTGCGTACACGTAACAGCACCGCACGTTCATGACAGCATGGTAATGGTTTGTTATTATGATAGATTTGATATAAACGAGGCGGCAGTTAGCAGCTAGCGGTTAGCTAGTAATTATGCTAATTTACACATCAATCGTTATGTACTTTTATATTACGCTGTAACAGGATCTAGTGATATCCAAGCAACAGAGCTTCATTTAGCATGAAAGAATTATTGCACTGTATATATATATGTATATATATACAGTGCAATAAGCTTCTTAGTGCAATAAGAAGCTACAGGGACGTTAATCTATGTCGGTAATATTAACTTTATTTAATACAACATTTACGGTACAAGATTTAATCATACAGCCCATGTAGTATAATATTTTACAAATGATGAATTACAGCAAACATGTGCAATATATCCATTATTACAGCTCCGTGGGCTGGCAGTAAGGCGATATGGGTCCGTTCTTATTGTGCATCCATGGGTAAAGATAAACGCATGTAGTGCTGAACACGTAACATGAACGTGCCGGGCGGCGCGGTCCCGTGGGTTAGATGCGCGTTCATAATGCAGAGGGAAATAACTCTCAGAATAACGTTATTAGCACATTTTTACAACTTGAGGAACGAATGTTTTTAATAAGGGCTATACAAGTGTTCATACTGGGTAGTTTATTTAGTTTAAAAAAAATTATCCAACGATTTACAGACCACTCTTTCCCCATGTAAGTCAATGGGAAAAAGTGTTTCCGGGCCTGGCAACCAAAAGGAAGTGTAGTACCGCCGTTTGGCCAGCACGAATATTTTCATCTGAGTCCGGCGCACTTCCTGGGGGCTTGGCTAATGCGAGCAAATAAAATGGCGGCTTCACAAAACTTTTTTTAGTTTTACAGGGCGTGGTTTGCAATTCGCCCAGCCAATCAGAAATTGTTAGCCTGGCCGACACACCCACGAACCATTTCCTCCCCAGGAAAGTATTACCTCGCTAGCAGGGACTATCTGCGGGTGAAAAGGTTTGCACAAACTACTAGTTCCAGATCCTTTTTGGTGTGAAACCAAATCCCCCCCCCTATCAGCCTAGTTCGGGGGGAAAGTGCCTATAGATACACGCTTCCTTTTGGGGAGTGATACGGTTGGCTTATTAGTTCAGTAGAAACAAATTGTCCCTAAATGACTGCTTACAACAAGGTCTGTGGATTAGCTAAATTAACCAGGTACTTATTTATGGAAAGACACAAACCCAGGCCAAGTTATAGTTCCATTATATCAGAAAGAAGGCAGATATCTTGATATCTCCAACAACTCCCACCAATACAATCTAGATTAATAAATAAAACTGCAGATAAGAGCAAAATGCTGTTGTTCTTTTACTTTGGGGTGAATTGTCCCTTTAAGAGTCATGTGGATGTTGATGCAGACAGACATACCGTAAGGGGTCTCCAGTGTGCATCCAGCATGGGGCTCTGCTTGTTTTAGCGCTCTGGTCAGCTCTGCTGTAGCTACTGTAGTGCTAGTTGTACGTTTGTCAATAATGCAAAACTCACTGCTACTGTGCTCTCCTTCAGACTACGGCCCGCAGCAATCAGATGGACTGGGATAGTGTGTGCGTGTGCGTGTGCGTGCGTGCGTGTGTGTGCGTGTGTGTGTGTGTGTGTGTAAGATATGAGCATGTGCGAGTCTGTCTGTCTGATGGAGCGTGAAGTGTGTATCACTGTGTGTGTTTTTATGTGCATGCATGCATAAGGATGAGAGAAATTACATAAGACTGTCCTAGTTGTGTGTGCTTTTTCACATTTCCCTTGTTTTCTCCCCTTTCCTCCCTCATCACCTCTTTTCTCCTCTGTTTTCCTCCCTCTCCATCTCCCCTCTCCGTTTGCCCCGTTTCCTCCTCCCTTTCTCCATCTTCCCGTATATGCTCCTGGGTGTGGAGTAGATGAAAACCGAGCTTAGTGTACGTGCTATAGAAGGTGTGAGGTGGGGAGGAACAAAGCATGGGAGAGAAAGAGGGAGGTTGAGGTGGTGGTTGGTGAGGAAGAGGGGGGGGGGGGGGGTGCAGTGTGTAGCCAGAGCTTAATCCTTTTGGCAGCGTACTATGTCTGGCTTTCGGTTTGACTGCTCTTAAATCTCACGCCAGCCGACCACATAAGTTAACTTCCCTATAATCTGCGCTGTGATTCTCCGGAGGCGTGTCACATCAAGGCGGGGTGTGTCAGAGCTGGACCGGTCCAAAGTCTCAACACTGCTATCTGGCCTTTTGTCTCTCGGGCCCGTCTTAACCCCGGGTCAAGACTATTAGTCCGATGATCAAAGAGGGATACAAGCAAAGCAGCAAGATTGTCACAGGGAGAGGTTTCCAGCTGGGGACTTCACGTGCTATTTATGGCTCTATAGGCAGGATTAGATATACTCTGCTTCTGCCTTCCCCCTACTTATTCCTAAATCTTATTTATCTATTTCCCAAGGGTTCAGCAATATACTGTATATTTCCATTTTAATATCTCAAGAAAAAAATGTAAATATAAAGCATGTTTTCTGTTAATAAATAAATGGTCTATATCAGGGGTGTCCAAACTGTTTACACTGAGGGCCACATACAGAAAAAACATATGAAAGGCTGGCCCCTCAATATATGTGAGGTATACTGCCTCGTAAGTTAATTTGTAAGTTAGCAAAATCAATTCAAATTCAAGTGAATTATACTTGATACTTGAATATGCTTTAAGAAAACAAACCAGCCAGTATTGGCAGCTTATTCCTTAAAACAGAAGCCTCAGATTGATTATAATAAGGGGAGATATGAAGAAATATATGAAAAGTGGGCTCACTAACACATGAATACTACTTTGTAATATCTGTTTACATATATATTTAAGAAGTACAATATAAGAAAAGCATACTTTTTGAATTTGCTGAGGGCCAATTCGAAATGGACAATTCGAAATCGTTAACGCAAGTAACGTGATAATTTTGTGCGTAGTAACTGTAATGTAATTACTGCTGAACCAACAGTAACGCGTTATACTACTGCGTTACAGACAAATGTAATCTGATTACTGTAACACGTTATTTTGTAGCGCGTTACTCCCAACACAGGCTAGTTATCAGTTGAAACAATGTAATCTTTCAATGTCGTTACATTGAAATGCGACAAATTACCATTTTGAATTATCTCCCAGCCCTTCATTCCCCCTTTGATTTTTTAAATGAAATCTCATTGGTGTCTGTTGATGACATAAAAAGTCCTGGGTATCCCATTACGTAATGTGTGCATACTTTGATAAGAACATAATATTGCTGCCTGTATACAGTACACGGAAACTAAAGTGTGTTTTTCAAATAACTGACCCAGAAAAGGATGGAATTGTGTGTGTTTTCGTATGTGTGTGTGAGAGCGCATCACATAGCCAGCTCGCAGAAGATCCACCACCTTTTCTCTCATACTGACTGAATCACAGGCTCTGAGCTATAGAGTGTGTCTGTGTGTGTGTGTGCGCGCGCGCGTGCGCGCGTGTGTGTGTGTGTATACAGTAAGTGTGTGTGTTCATTTCATAACTATAATCCCGTAATTGCTCATTATGATTGAGATCAGAAGATTATTTTATGCAGGGTTCATCACTGTCATGCTGCTTGTGTGAATAAAGACGGCATATATTCTCTTACATGTATGACGGTTACGTTTCTGTGTGTGTGTCAGTGTGTTTGTGTGCGTGTGTGTGCAGGAAACCCAGGGTAACGCGCTCTGCTGTGTGCCCCCTTTAGTCAGTCAGCCACGATTAGAAGGCAGAGATGTTGCTGATGATAAATCGACTTAGCATGCGTGACCAAACAGACAAATAGCCTGAAAAATCATCAACGTTTATTTTGAACAAAGGCAAGGTGAAGCCTTTTTATTTGGTGCATTTTCTCAGATGCACTACATAATAGGAATGTGAGTGTAAGAAATAATGTAGAGGTAATCTAACCACTTTTTCAAGATTTTGTTTGGTTCCTGAAATAGCCCTATCATCCGAACAAATAAAATGTGTGCTCTGTAATTTAGATGTTAGTAAATGTCATGCGGGCACCTCGGGGCCGGCTGGTATCCGTGATGTGTTGTTCTGTCTGTGACAGCGTCTTGTGGGCTTGCCTGTGGACAAACTGTGACAGGAAACAGTTTGTGTGCCGGAGTGATGAAAGTGGCGATGTGGAACAATCTGATGAAATGATTTCTGTTTCACCTCCTCAAGCTAGGTCACGGCATCCCTCACGGACCAAAACCAATCTCAATAACTTTCTCTTTTTGTCCCTTTTCTTTCCCTACCTCTCTTCCTGTCTTTTATCCTCTGCTTCTTTTTTCCTCTCCAGTGTAAGACCTTAGCGGGGATATGCGACCACATCATCTCACTGTCGTCAGACTCTCTGGTCTCTCAGTCTGCCCATCTGGAAGTGGTCCACCTCACCAGCATCATGCCAAGTGAAGGCCTGGTGAGGACCCACCTGAGCATGCACGCAGATCAATATCAATGTTCAGCTCAGCTCTACAGAGCATTTTATCATCAAAAGTTTCCTAAGGGCAGAATTTTGTTTCGAACATTGGTTTGGACATATAGTATTGAAGGTATAGTAACATTTCCGCATTAAAATGTCTCAAAAACAACCTACATAATCTCAAATGTTTGTAACAATATTCAAACCAAGAGAACTTTGTAAAACCAATATGGGTCACCTGTAGTGCAGATGTACAGTATCCCCTTGGGTCATTCATCAGCCTTGTGTTCATTGGCCAGAGTCTGTCATAATTAGAATTTTTTACCAGTTTTAAGCCCTTTTTTAGGAGAAACTTTATGAATCTTGGTTTTTAAACCAGATGAAGGATTTTTTTATCAGACATCTGGATCTTAAGTTATTCTTTTTTGCCATTCTTACTCACTTGGTAAGTTTGTTGTGGAGATGAAGGGAACTCTACGGATAATTCCTCTTTCTGTAAAAAAAAAACACCCTGAACTTGAGGGAATCCTAAGCGGGACTGACTGCAATGACGTCAATGGTGCAGAAACGCATGTGTTCTAAATATTAGGGGGACATGTCCCCTGCGTCTCCACCAAAACCTAAGCCTATGTTTTATTTAGACTGTTTTTCACACAGCATTTAAACAGCATCTCCCTTTGAAGCTGTTAATAATGTTCTTACATGACTGAATCCAAGTCTCTACAATGCCTTTGAAAATAATATTAAATATTCAAGGTGTGTAAATATGCAATGCCTGGCTTTTGCACTCTTATTTATTATTTATTGTTACAGGACTTCACCGGGTCACAATGTGAAGGTTTTGCTTTTATGTCTTCAGTCAGATCTTTATGGGGATACAATTTTAAGTACATTTTTGGGGGGAAAAAAAGCATACTGTTTCAGACAGAGCTCAAGGGGCCATTGAATGTGTGTAGAACATTGATGTTGAAACATAACCTTAACCCGATTGGATATTTTGCAGCAATATGTCATCATCAAAACCCAAAATAAAGAGTCTAGTTTTTATTAAAAAAACAGTCCTATTAGAGTTAAAATATTGGGTAATCTATAATAAGGGTCACTAAGTTTGCTTTGGAGGGTCTTGGTCAACCAACACTTCACTTATATAGTTGATAGTTACGTCTTGAATTTGTTCCACATCCGTAAGTCAGGTCAAGACAAAGATTGACAGATACAAACGTTTTTTCCTGTGTATTCTATTACTCAATAGTACTATATTATACTGAATCCTGCCTGCCTATGCTTGTTTTTCAGGGGATGTACATCAAATCGACGTATGATGGTCTCCACGTTATCACAGGAACCACAGAGAATGTGAGTTTTTGTTTCACCCTGTAGGAATCTTGACACTCCGCAGACTACAACTCATGGTCTCTAATTCCACAATGACATTGAATCCAAGCCTTAATATATCCTAAATTTGCTTCCGTTGTCCTTCTCTGTCCTCCAATTACTTCTGCCTCTGCAGTCTCCGGCAGACCTGTGTAAGAAGATCCACGCAGGGGACGAGGTGATCCAAGTCAATCACCAGACAGTGGTGAGTAAAAACCTTCCAACAATGTAGTCCCAAAGAGTCAAAGGAAATGTAGTTTTCATGTATTTCTGTCTTCCGTTCTTCATCCTGTGCTATGATAAGGAGATGTACATGATGTCTACCACCACCACCACTGCTGCCGTCATGGTGCTTCCTGTCCTGTGCAGCTATGTAGGCTAATTAGACTTGCCGCTGGAGCAGATTATATGATGATTATTACCTTTGTTCGGTCCAGTGTGATTGTCAGCTCACTCTTTTCCAGAATTTGTTCCCATTGTCGTTAGAAACCCCTGAAGGAGGGGGCTGGTTGAAATGTGTTCCACTTTCAGACTTGAATAACTCGTATTTTCTTCCTTCAACTCATCACATCAGAGGGAAGCTCGAAAATGGGCAGCCATTTTAAATGGAAACGGGGCCTTGTGAGAGCATGTGATTGAGGGCTCAGTTGATTGCCTGTGCTGTCAGCTCTGGCACAAACGATTCGTTCCAGCATTTATTTGAGATATCTGAGGGATGGGAGGAAAAAGAAAAGAAAAGTTGGTGTCTTGTGTGTCTTTTGTGTGCTTTCCCATTAGTATTCCTGGTACGTCTCGATAGGTACTACTCGTTTGAACGCATGGAGTGCTGTTGATTGACGCGTGAGGGAGGCACGTGTTATCTCCCTCCCTCTCTCTCTCATCGAGGGGACAGTGCAGATCGCACCCTGCTAGGCTCTCAGCTCCAACCCTTCATTACTCCCTCAGCTAGACCCTCACCCCTCTGATCCCTCACTCTGGGGGAGGAGATAAGCAGGGGGAGACAGAGGTGTGTGTGCAATGGAGAAAGGGAAATGAGGGGATGCTGGGAGGGGGCAGAGCTGGGAGAGTGGGAGGAAAAAGGAAGGTGGGAAAACGGAAGGAAATCTCTTATCATAATACAAAAAAATGCAGTCCTAAATCAAGCTGCTGATACACACTACCAGCAAACCCTCTGTCATCATCATGGGTGATAAGTTTATCTAGCAAGACTCCATATTTAAAAATTAGATTAGTGTGAATATTGAATAAACAAATTCTATTACATCATAGAAACATTATGTAGCCCTAGCCCACGTATTTAGCAACAGCACTGCCTTCATGTCTATGCATGAGCTTCTGTTTGAGACCCACTTCAAAACAGGACTTGCAGTTTTTAGCTCAGCTTTTTTCTTTTGAGGTAAAATGTGGATTTTGCTCAAATAACAAACTGACTGTTTGAAGAGGCAACATCATTATGTGGAGGTAATAGCATCTGGGAAAATAATGAAGACCCTGGAGATTTGAAAAACCTCTCCAGAAGCAGTTTATGCTCTATTATTATTTTTGGTTGGTCTCTCCCTGTCTTCCCTTTTCCCTCTGCTCGCTGTATTTGGATTAAAGAACTGTTCTAAACCGGTCTGGTTAGGATAGGCTTTGTGTTTGCTGTTAGCATACACAGTTCGCTGGCCAACATTGTGGTGGAGCTAACAAGGGATTAGAAGGTTAGCATGACCGAGTGTTATGAATGTCACAAGGCTCAGGACCCAAACGCACAACACCAGAAGCAGGTCAGGATTAACAAAGTATTTAATGAAAGGGCAAAAACACAAAACGCTCACTAGGAGGATCAAAACTGAGAAACTATAAGATCAAAAACGCTAAACAAAACATCTACTTGGATTATCAAAAACGTAACACAAAGAGTCTATCAAAAATATACTTACAGTAGCAAGGTCAAGGGATGACTGGCAGACTTGGTGAGACAAGACGAACTGGCACAGGACAAGGGGAGACGCAGACTATATATACACAAGGTAAGGGGACACAGGTGGCAACAATTAAGGGAGGAGCTGACAATCACACTGGAGGGAAAACACACAAGGGCAGGAAGGGTTTGACAAAATAAAACAGGAAGTCACAAGACAAAGCAAAAGACAAAGGATTGAACTAAATGAATTAACTTAACATAAATGTCGAGACGTTTTAACCGTTTGTTTTTTAGTTCTAATTTAAACAAAAAAAACAACAGAAACGGGTCGTTTTTTTGTTTTTCAATTTTGCCCCAAAACGGAAAAACGGAAATTCAGCTCGTTTTTTCGTTTTTCTGTTCTTACTGTTAAAACAAGTATACCACTCAATGTTTCGTTTCCATAGGTGGGTGGGTCTCCAGTGCCTCCTTGCTTCTGATTGGCTAGTTTGCCCTATGCTTGCGCTGTACTCTTCAAAATAAAGGTTCTAACTCTTTGCCTTTACACAGTGCAAAAATGACAAGCTTCTGCTATCTTTGATGAGCGATAACATTATTTTTGGCCATTCGTTTTTCATGAGACTGATGAAGTTGGAATCAGTTGTAGTTACAACTATCCCAAATACTATGAAATACTTTTACTGTGTACTTCTTGATACTCTCCTGTCAAAGTCCCCTCCATGGTACAACAATGTCTGTCTTGCTGCTATATGTGACGAGCAATACAAATACTTTTAAGTTTGAAGACTGATCATTTTGGACTCAGTAGTTAGACTACTAGCGCAAAGACTATAAAATACTTTTATTTTGTACTTTCAGAGAAATCCTCTGTCAAATTGTCCACCCTGAATACCCCATGCAGATGCTCCTGTTGTCTGTCAAACACAAGCAGAAACATTTCCAAAAATGGAAAGTTATCTTGGTCCCGCTCCCCACGTGAAAAACAGGGTACGTTTAGTGCTGCTAATGTAATGAAAATGGCTAGTAGTGTTTTATTTAAATGGATATTTAGATAGTCAACTAAGAAACATAAAGTACTTGAAACGTACATTTTGGTAACAATTTTGAATATGATCATTTTCTTGAGCTTTAAACTCCTGGGGTCAAAATGACCACCAAGGATAGAGGGTGTAAAGCAAATGTGAAGATAAAGGAGGGTTAAGAATACATTATATAGCAGTTTTTTGTTTTACAATATCCTAAAGTCTATTTTTAACACACTATTGAGTTGGCTTTTTCATTACATTTAAAATATAAATTGTACCTAAAATAATACTGAGTGAGCAGGCTATACATATTCACACCATTATGCAATCATAGGATATTTTTAGTTCGAAAGATATTTGTCCAAATTGACTACAAATTAGTACAAATGCAAAACATTAAAAAAAAGAAGCCTTACGGGTCCCTTTTAAAATATATATATATTTTGTATAATGTTCTGGTGCCTTATTTTCAATTTGAAAACAAATGGCAATTTTATTAATACAGCAGATGAAAAGATTTGCAATTCTTCATGGGTGTCATTGGCTCTCTAGATAAAGGCAGTATCTGTTTGCTAACCTCAGATATTGATTTATTTAAATAAGTGACCTTTGAATACATATTGCAAACATAGCCTTAAAAAGGTGCAGGAAAAGGACTTCAAATATTACTTAAAGACTGGACTTTTTAATTCAGTCAAGAGAAGAGAAAAGAGAAGAAAGGAAAGAAAATCGTTATAAGGGGTGATGTAACATTAATGAGAGACATAATATGGCTAGGGAGGCTGTGGCTGATCGTGCGTTGATCTTCGGATCAGGGGGGCACTGGTTCAATCCCCACTGCAGTCAGCATGTCGTTGTGTCCCTGGGCTTCACCCCAAATAGCTCCTGTGAGGATTGTCTACAGTATTGAGTGTATGTAAGTCGCTTTAAGGTAAAAGCAACTAACAAGTGACATGTAGAGGTCAGTGGCAGGGTCATTTTTTGATCATGGGGCATCACCCTTGTACAGCATCAGGACAATATCTCTATGGAGTCAGACACTGAAAGTGTGCTGGAGGCTGATGCGTTGACTGGGACTGATGGAAAGATGAGGCTGATGAGACTGAAGAATCTGCGAGGAACGAACTAGGGGCAGAGAAATAATCATATTTTAACCCTTTAATTGCCAGACCAAGAAGAAATCTATGGACAAATTATTTCTTTGCATTTTTTTTATCAAATAGGACACAAATAACCACAAACCATTTTGATTTTTTTTACTGACCACACAGTTTTGTTTTTATGAGCCTCTACCAACTGGTCGAGCTGGCCTTGGCAAAAGTGCATTTTCAACAATCATCATATAGTACAGTATTTGTATGCATCAAACTCAAATAAAACACAAACACATTTTTTATTTTATGGAAGATGAGCAATATATACAACCAGATATATTCATGAAAAATAATAAATTATAATTGTAAAACAAAAAAGAAATGGAAAAAAGTAATGGAAAGTGTTTTTCATTATAAAAAGTTTGGCCTAACAACAACTGGCCTAACAGCAAATGTCTATATCCTGTGTTGGCCTAACTTGCTCATGTGTGTGCAACTTTGGGCTGAATGCCATGCATGAAAGGTGCTATATAAATTATTATCGCTCTTTCACTCTGAGACTCATAAGGCAGTACTAGATTTAGTAATATTACCATGAATCTAGCCATTCATTTACCATATTTTATTGGAAAACATCTCTGAAACTCTGAAAAGGTCGTATTGCTAGTTTACAATATGAAGGCCAATTCGACCGGTTGGTTGAGCATATTTTCAAAAAAATAATTACACCCTTGTTACAAAAATGTTTTGTGCATCAAGTTAAATAATTCTGTTCAGTCAGTGCTCTGACACTAAGATATGTCAAAAATGATATGGTTACCTTACAAAAGTTGACCAAAAAGAGTGATTAGTATACTGAGTCAAAGAGTATCACTCTCATTAAGAATTTATGGCAGAACATCATTTTATCTCTCATCAAAGATAGCAGAAAACATGCATTATTGTACTCAAGAGGGGAGTTTGACAGAGTACACAGTAAAAGTACTCTAAATAGTATTTATCAATCCTCAACCTCCAAGCTATTTTAATATAGATTTGTAGAAAAAAACCTCGATGCTGACTTGACCACGCAAACGGGAAATACGGCCGCATCAATTCAGCAGTGTCAGTAACATCAAACAGAGAGGTACTCATACTTTATAAGATAGGGATTCATGGCTGACAGACACATACGCACCCACACACGGACAGACTGTCTTCTGTATGTTTTGCATGTAGCCATATATTCAATGTATATTCGCACTGCAAAGAGTATGAACCTTTATTTTGAAGAGTACAGCGCAAGCATAGGGCAAACTAGCCAATCAGAAGCAAGGAGGCACTGGAGTCCCACCCACCTATGGAAACAAAACATTGAGTGGTATACTTGTTTTAACAGTAAGAAACAGAAAAAAACAAAAACGACCCGTTTCTGCTTTTTCTTTTGTTTCAATTAGAACTAAAAAACAAACGGTTAAAACGTACCTTGGTCGTTGAGACACCACACCGAGATCCAGTTCTGGGACAACACCTTATCCATGCAAGCTTAACAATTTAAAAAACATTGCTTCTTTTGTTAAAGGAATAGTATGACATTTTGAAATATTGTGACCAGGTTCTCATGTCTTCACTGAATAGGAAACAACAGTAAGACAACCGTTAGATTAGCGTAGCATAATAACTGAAAGCAGAGGTGAACAGGTAGCCTCTGTCTGTCCATAGGTTAAACAAATAAACTAACTACTAGCACCTCTTACAATAACTACTCTTTATCTTGTTTGTTAAGCTAGCTCTGTCACCCTCCTCCTAGTCTCTATGCTAAGCTTAGCTAACCCTCTAACTCTCATTGTAGCTACATAATGGCCAGACATATGAGAACGTGGTATACATCTTCTTGTCCTACTTTTTGAAAGAAAGAGAATATCAATGTTTTCCTCAATGCTTAGCTTAGCATAGGGAATGGACGCAGTGGGGCACAGGTACCCTAAACAAACAAGACATAACATGTTCACTTGTGAGCTTTACAGGTGCTGGAAGTTCTTTTTGTTTAACAAACAGCTTCATATTAAAAGATAAATACAAGACGAGCCGCTGCTCAAAAACTTTGTCTAAAACGGGTTATCAAGTGCTTATCAAGAATATTTAACAAGATAAAACATCTGACCAAATATATAAAGACAGATCTTGTGACTGACACACGGTCCCTTTTCTTCCAGTATGTTCCGTTTGATAGCTAGCCCTGTTTCTGTCACTTGCAAATTACAAATACAACCAGTTCTATTGTGTCCTGGGTGTCCTGGCATACCCCATTGTCTCTAGTGTGCAGAACAGGACAAAACATACAGTAGTAAATTACTTCTATTGTATCCCTTGCTGCTGGTGAACGCTGGCTGAACTCGGTGTTCTGAACTGGGCCAAAGAGAACAGGAAACGGGTTGCTAAAGGCTGACACAGGCTGGTCATCATTATGTCAGGAATAAGGTCACAGCAGTTCTGTCTGTGTGTGTGTCTGGGTAAGTGTGTGTGAGCGCAGTGGCCTCTGCGGACACTTCCAGTAGCGAGTCCAGTGTAGCCAATCAATGGCCTGACGAGTGCTTCGAGCTCCGGAGACAAGCCAGCCGTAACCACAAAGAAACACTGCAGTCAGCAGTTATTTCTCACTCTTTCACCATCTCTCTCTCTCTTCCGTAAAACTAAAATATACTGACTCTTTGTTTTCATATGTTTTCAGATCAGTGATACTGGTAGCCACAAAATGTAATAGATATGACGTTAACCATAGCACTCAGAGAATGTATATTTCCCTCTCAAGCCACTAAGCCTGTTAGATTATTGAAGTTTAGAAGATTTTGAATCTCCATGGGGATACAAATCTACGTCATAATACATGTTGCGATATATATTTCTGCCTTGATCCATGGATCCAGTGTATTTCTTCTCTGTCTTTGTGTGTTCTGTTTATGCTGTTGTTATAATACAAAAAAAAAGGTTGGGCAAGATTAGCCTTTATTGAAGAGTGACAGTGTTGAAAGGGGGAGACAGAGGGGATGACATGTGTAAATGGTTCCAGGCCGGATTGAACTTGGGTTCTCCGCACGGGAACTGAGTCCCAATACATGGTGGAAAATGAATACGTTTTAAGAGAAAAAACACAAGATAACCAGTTATGCAAATGTAATGATGGCAGTCATCATTGTTTTGTTTTCTTATTTATATTGTATTGATAAAGGTTAGGGGGTAAAGTAGATTAGGTGTACAGAAAACGTACAAATACACACGCAAATGTAGATGATTGTAACTCCATATTTTGGTATCCCCCCTATTTGTAGAGAATAACATAGAACAAAAACATTTTAAGCAGCTATTTTGGATATATATATATATATATATATATATATATATATATATATATATATATATATATATACACGCTTGTGTCCTTTTTTTTTGCAGAAAAAAAGGAAATGTTCAGGATCTATAAAAACATGTTAGGTACTTTAGTAGCGGTCACATAGCAGTTATTTGTTTTTCCTAGACATTTTACACCAGAATTCACAGGCCTGAAAACATAAATGACAAACAGTATACATGGTTTATTCTGTCATTATACTCAGCTGTTGTAAATAGTACAACATCCCCGGTGGTTTTCCTCAGGAGATTTGGCTGCTCCCAGTGCATCGTGTACAGCATGCGTGTGTGTGTGGTAGTTTGCAGCAGTTCGGTAGCCCGGTGTGTGTGCTCCTCAGGTGGGCTGGCAGCTGAAGAACCTGGTCAACGCTCTGAGAGAAGACCCGTGTGGAGTCATTCTAACGCTGAAGAAAAGGCCCCAGAACACCCTGAGCTCCACGCCGGCTCTGCTCAGGAACGTGCGCTGGAAACCACTGGGCCTGCAGGTAAACACCAGCAACACATGGATGCCTTAAAGAAATACTTCAACCACAAACGTAACATTTTACATCAATCACTCACCCAGTGTTACCTCGATTTCGTGAAGAAAAACGTTGTTATTAAAATCTTAAATTTAAAAAAAATTAAATCTTAAAACAAAGTAAAGCCTTGATTAATTAAGATAGGATTAAGATAAGATGTACTTGATTGATCCCAAAATTGGGAAATGTTTTCATTGCAGCAGCATAAAAAAAACAAAAACAAGGCATTGCACATAATTAGAAATTAAGAGTAGAAATAAACAATTCTAAAATATAAACATCTCAAAGTAGAAATAGAAATAAACCAGCATTGTAGTAGAAAATATACGTAAATAAGTAGTAAGCATACGACAGCAGAAGTTTTTATAAAGCGACAAAGACAAAGGCTCAAATGTAACAAAATGTAATTTTAATTCCAAAGATCAGGTAATCCCTCTTAACAGAGTAGGTACTGGAATAAACAAAAAGCGCTCACAAGGAGGAAAAAACTAAGCATAACAAAAAGAGAACTTAAGAAAAACGTAAGCCTACAAAATTAACAACAAAACAAAACCTGACATGAGTGAGAGCGATCCTTTCTGAGCTGAGGCTTGGCACGACCATTCGGGGAAACAAATAAGACGAACTGACACAGGACAGGGGAGAGACAGGACTATTTAAACATGAGGTGAGTGGGAACAGGTGGAAACAATCAGGGGCGGGGCAGACGCTGATGAGGGTGGGAAAACACACAAGGGGAGGAAGAAACAGGGCCTGAAATGAAAGACAAGAGGTAAGTACAAAATAAAACAGGAAATGGAAAACGAGACAATAAACACAGAGACTGACTAGAGATGAAGGATCTAAACAAACAGACATGACTAGACGTGAAAAAACATGAAAATTACAGACATAATACATAAACATAACTAACACATTTGACGAGACACAACATTGTTGTTGTTAAACTCGTACCCCATTGACTTCAATTCCTGTCTACTTGCATGCAAGAAAATCAACATTTTCTTCAAGATGTCACGGTAGCACTGGGTGAGTGATTGATATACAAGTGATCATTCTGAAGGTGAATTATTCCTTTAACTTCCACATCCTGAACTGAAGGTGCTAAACTGGCTCAATGAGATGCTGCTCACCCAACATGTGACAATGCATTTTCTGCTAACTTGTACTTAGCAGAAAATGGTATCACTCTGCACATTACGCTTGTCTTCTTCCTTTGTCTTTATCTTTGATTCACTCTCAGGCAACTCATGATTTTTACTGCCCATACTCTGCATTATCCCACTAGCATTCTTAAACATATATTTCCAAAAGGAAACTTGTTCACTTTGTGACCTGGCATCAATTATCCTGTTGTGCATTTTAAGAAATCTCTTATTTTTCACAGCCTGCTGTACTGCTGGCACAGTTCAAAGTCATTCACAAAGTGTCTGTAGCTAAACCTCCATTTAAAGTTTTATGCAAACGAAAGCAAATCTTTATCCATAGAGATACATTGAGTTAGTGAAGGGGTAAAAATAGCTAATTTAATCTTAAAGTTGCACTTTGAATGATTTAAAAAGTACTATATTGCCTGAGCTCGCTGCTCAGGGCAATACAAGGTCACCGAAAGGTCCTGCCACACTCCCACTCACATTAATATTCATATTTACTGACACTTCGGTCCTAAATCATTCAACCTTTGCCCCAAAATGCATCTTCTTTTTTTGTCAGGGAGTACATTTTTAATGTACTGTAGATCTAAAAGTGGAATTACAGTACTCATGTTGAAAAGGCTTACAGGTCAGAGCAGGTGTATGCATAAGGGAGTCTGATGCTGCTTGTGCTTCCATGCTTTGTAAAGTCCTACTTTACATGTATGTAACAATGTAAAGCAGTATATTGGACAAAATCATGTGAAAATATGTTCATATGAGAGACTTGTACATTAAGTTTAGACCATTTAGATCATGTAATAACCATAACATTTGCTGCAACTTAATCAACATCTCTGCCTCCAACAAGGTTGCTGCCTTGTTAGATCCCCTCTCTAGGTTGTTACCATGAGCTTATTGTTACATTTGCCGTGTGCAACAGCAGAGGATTGTGGGAATTCTACCCCTGATGGGCTGCTAAGACACAAATGCGCCGTTAGCACCGAGATCAGAGCGCCGAGATATCTGCGGGAGAAGAGAAGAAAGCAGACTTTTAGATTTGTTCTCTCTCGGAAAGACTGGAGCTCTTAATTATTCATAAGCAACTACAGGCAGCTCCACTGGCTCCGAAACAAGAGCTGCTACTCAGCAAATACTGGAGATAATGCACTGAATCCAAAATATCCTGCTAAACAGCCTGCGTGTGTGTGTCAGTGTCAGTGTGCACACATTTTGAAGCGCGGCCGTATGCACGCTTGTCCATTTGTGTGTGTCAAAGCGAGTGTGTTTCTGTGCGAAGGGATGTTTTTATCAGTCGCGTTGCTCCTTTGAGAGGCTAAGGATCTGGGTCACTGCACTCCTAAAGCTTGTTTTTTGATACTGTACGTACACGCTCTCAAAAATAAACACACGTGAAAACACATGCACACTCATATTTCTAAGCCCGGTATTAGAGGATGAATTGCACGGCTGTGAAGTGTAGCACAAATGTGGCAAATGTTCAGCCGGATTATCACCGAATCCACAAAGGAAACAATTTATCTCTGCAAATTATCATGTGATTCCAGCCCCAAATCCCTCCATGGCAACGTCCTTTATTCTACTCAATAATATCTCTCTCTTTTTCTCTTTCTGTGTGTGTGTGTTTGAGTCTACCGTAGGATGGAGTAGAAGCAATTTAATGATCCACTGTAATTACTATGATGCTGATTGCTGCTGTGTCTGCTGAGTTGCTGTCAAATGTGCATCATGGCGGGGGTCATGTCATGCGTGATTGGAGTCCTCATCACAGGTCACTTCACTAGTCACACGTGTGCCACACATTGTCCATGACCTGGCTTTCATAAATCTGTTATATGTTTAGATACATCAATAATTTCTCTATGAAACTGCCTACTATTTTAGGCAAAACGTGTTGTTATGACTTATTAATGGGTCAGCCAAATGAGTGATGTTTTTTATGTTTCTTTGACATTTTTTCTACAGTACTTTCTTTTGGTCTACTTTTATGGCAGCTAATGCAACTTGACATGTCTGCCATTCCTTCAAAGATAAATGTTTGATCAAAAAAATTATAATGTAAGTGAAGGTTCTTTTAGTATCTCTTGATGAAGATCAGGAGATAGAAACACAAGCCAGGGAATTGTAAGTAAATGGCCTTAAAGGAGAACTACACCCATTTTTTTATTCATACATGCTATTTTTATGGTCTATAACAGTCCAAATATGTTTATTATACATTACAAAATCCAAGCCCTTGAGTGCTCAAACCTTCACTCAAACTGTTGATACCATCAAGTTCAAATACAATAAATCCTTCTTAGTACATATTTTAGTAACAACTCCTAAAGGGGCCCTATTATGCCTTTTAGTTTTTCCCTTTCCTGTTGTTTGTTAAAAAGGTTTGCATGTAAATGGTCTGCTAAGGTTAAAATCCCCAAATGTCCCTCCAGAGGGACTTTCTCTCCCACAATCCCCCCTTGCCTGAAACGCGTCCATTGGACTCCTTTGTTTACTTCCACGACATGGGGACATCACGATGTAACACTGAGCTTCTATTAGCGCTCCAACACATTGTACGTGATTAAGGGGCGGGACATCTCTGAGCTGTTGACCAATCACAACAGAGTCGGTCAGCTAACCAATCAGAGCAGACTGGGCTCTGGTTTCAGACAGCGGGTGAAACAACCTGGTCTCACCAGAATGCGTGACTCCACCACGACTCCTTAACACCGCATTGCGTGGTGGAGTCACGAACTTTGCTACATTTACGTGTCTGCACCACGCAAACAACCCCAATGTAAAGTGAATGAGGCTCCTTTGTCGTGGTGCACACACGCATTTCTACAACGTCCAACATTGAGCTTTTATTCTATAAAACGTTTTTAAAATCTACTTTATAGCTTGTAGTAACTCACGGGAGGCTTCTTTTATTTTATTTGTATTCATAATCATTTTTATTTTTCGTCAGAATGTATTATGGTGCATTATTCACCAATTTTTGTTCTCAAAAAACAGTGCATTGTGTGTAATACAACTGTGATTTTTATTAAATGAGTTCGTTTTTAAGGAAGGCCAGAGCTTCAGCTGTGTCAAATAGATTGTTCCCTTTAGTTAACGTTATTTAAAAGATAATTATATTCCTATTTGATCAAGTCCCCTTTATTGTATTACGGAGAGCAATGTGAGCGTCCATTCCCATTGGATAACGGAGGATTTTACACCCGGAAGTAAGTATTCTCCTTACTGTCGATTGATTTTATTTACAGTGATATCTGCACTACTCATCAACTCAAAAACACCAGATTATCCTTGTTAATTACACAACATTGATTGGTTTAAATTGTGTACAATGCTTTTGGATTTTCCCCTTTCGATTCGGAGAAACAAATATTTTTTCGTAGTGTGTGGATGGCAGAAGACACTACACTACCCAGAATCCTCAGCTATGGGACTACACCATGGGTGTTTCTCAATCGCGAGTAAAGCTGCTTCAGAGCCACTATTTCAAGCATACTACGTCATCGAGTGCCGCCGAAGTACTGTTCCAATCTCCAGCATACTTGGAAATCTACCGAGCCCGGCGTACTCCATTTGGAGAAATATCGAGGTTGCACATGAGTATACTCCGCGGTCTTAAAATCCCCACAATGCTTTGCGCACGGACCAATTTCCCCAAATCTGTGGCGGAAGATGTAAGGCGGGGCCTCTCATATGACGCACACCTGCACACTTGCTAGCGTGTTCCACTCTTCGTTTTCCGAATGCCAGGAAATGCCCCCCCCCCCCCCCCCCCCCTTAGGTCACAGGCTCCTCCAACAGTGCAACACA